AAGATGTCACTGTGCACAAATACCAGACTGGCAGGGCCAGTTGTAGTAGCTGTGCATGTGTGATTGCACAGACGTTTTTAGTCAAGATGCAAGCGTATGCTCCTCTTGGAGCATATACTGGCTTTGTCTCAGCTTTATTTTTTAGTACAGGATTTCTGTAGCCCTCAAAGAGCATATAGCTCTGTTAGATCGCCTCTGACAACTGAACTTTTCCACTAATTTTTGGCATCTTTTCAAAGTCAAACAGAATGCTCTCCTGTCCCCTGTATTTCAACACATTACAGTGCTTGCTAACTTCATCTGGACAGCCCAGTTAAGTAACCCATACCATTTTCACGATCTGCTTTTTGTGCTTCATGAGATACTACAGAGGAAGGGGTGGCTCCTGCCCCCAAAGGCACACCACCTGACGTAGTTTCTTCACATCACCAGGTTCCATGCGCTATTTCTCTCTATGCTACCAAACTATTTAATACTGCTTTAATGTTCCTTTCAGATCTCTATCAAATTCCCCTGTAATTCAAAGGAAAAATTATTTGTTCCATTAAACTGAATTTTAATGGAATTTTTTAGTTGGGCAGCACACGGATATGAGCAGAGAAGGTGAACCAGTGTCACACCTCTCAAGCAAGCGTTCTAGCCCTGCTAGAACAAGTCTCCCTCAATTCTTTCCCACTGGAACGGATCCATTTTGTATCAAATAACTATTTCTTGAGTGAGACACGCTCTTACCTCGCCTGATGATCAGAACTCTTACCTGGGAGAGATGACACCTGGATTCCTGTCCTGCTCCAACTAGTATGTATGCAAAGCAAGTAGCACTAACTGTACTGCATCACAGATAACCCAGGAGTGGCAACAGTTGAGACTTGAAACTCTCTTTCCCCCCTGGTTATTTGGAGGCGGGATCCCTATTGGCAATTGTCAGTTCTTCAACAGAACAAGAAGAGGGAAGGATATCCTGGATAGCGACAGGTGCTATGGGGCATCCTTCAGGGAATACTGCAAGGAGATTTAAAGGCAGCAGGTATGAGACATACAGAAGGGGCTCTCAAGAAGGGTGAGGTAAAGGACACAGTAATTGAGAGAGGCCACGAGGGTGGGGAGGCAGATGGGTCTCAGAGTTCGTTTCTCAGACACTGTGCCACACAAACACAGCTGCTCCGCTCCTCTCTGCAAACAGGTTGGTTTGCTGTGAATGGGCGATAGCCCCAGCACAGCAGGAGGCATCTCCTCAGAGAGCCAGCCGAGTTTCCGAGCATCTTGTTCCCATAAAGCTGCTCATTAGCTTGAGCTCAGCGACAGCCCTAGGCTGGTTCCACCCAGCACATGGTAGTGTTTCCAGTGGCCAGTTAGAACTGCCTTGTTCTCTCCTTGGGCCACCAACTGGCCACCCAGGACACCAACTGGCCACCCACTACAGCATAATAGCTGGTAACTCAGAGGTGTCTTCTCAGGCAGAGAAATGTTTCTTACTGTCTGACAGTGCTCCTCAGGGACCACAGAGACTCCCAAGCAAATCAAGGCCTTTATTATCTTTGCTTTCACAAAAAAAAAATTTCAAAAAAATAAACTTAATCTTTCAAATGTTTATTTTGGCAAAAACCAAAAGATGTGTTTTAATTTAATTAAATCAGTATTTTTTTTTTACTTAGCAGCAAAAAGTACAAAGTGCTTCTCTCTGCTGCTTGTCTGAGATGTGACTGTTGATTCTGATCATTAGTCAGGATGACTTTATTGCACAAATTCACTCAGCTGTCTTGTCTAATGCAAAATCAGTCCCAATCTGAACAGCAATAGGTGGCCTCCCTTCTCTCCGACTTCCATAGGAATACCCCAGTAGGATCTGACTCTAACTCTAGATGACCCTGTACAAAAAATGACAGCATAAAACTCCAGGTATACGTTTGCTGAACAGCCGGAGGGCCCACTCCTGTGTGGTTTTCTGCACACTCTCACAGGCAAGTTAGTAAGAGTTGATGGTAACTCTCACATACTGAAGGCTAGGCAACAACTTTTTTGAGACTATGTAGCTCAAACCTATCATCTGTTGCCACAGCTGACAACATCACTTTCCTGTATTTTTCTCAGAATCTCAATTTTTTCCATACACCTTACAAGAAAAACGCACTCCAACATCGTTAAAAAATGTGTTCGGAACAGCTAAAGTATGTCTTCTAATCACAGGCTAAGCAGCGTTGACAGAATCACAAACAATCCCAGATGCCAGGAGGCAAGGCAGTACCAATTTGACTCTGTCTTTTGAATTATAATGAAGGTAGCTATTTCTAAAGATGAACTAATTCCTTAAATCCAGAAGTTTTTCAAATTACACATTTTTATACTTTCTGAAGAGGTGTTATAAGCAGCACTATTACTGAGGGGAGTATTGAGTTGTCTTAATGACTGCTATTTCCCACCAGATGTCAGAGCTAAAACCAACGTCAAGCTTTCTGCGATAGATCTGTTTTGAAAGTTGTGTCTGGAGCTACAGAAATTTGTTGGGAACCAGAAACATTTGTCAAGACATTCAAAACTCCATTAAGAAGCTAGAAAAGACCACCACCAGTTGTTAAAGCACGGCATTTCACCGCGGTTCAGGGCAGCTCCTGGGATCCCTGCGGCCTTGCGCGCTCCCGGGGCGGTACGAACGGCACCGGCGGGGTTACGAGCCCCGCTCGCAGACCTTTCCCT